GCGCAGAGGCTGAGGAACCTTGGAAATGGCAGGTTGTGAAAAGGGATATATATATCACGAAAGCTAGCCTTAGCTAGCTGAAGTTGCTCTTGCTTTAGCAAGTTAAATGATGGGGTGGACGCGCCTCAGAAACCTCAAAAGTATAGAAAAGTCGTGCGCGTGTGCGTGTTTTTTGTCCTGTTTTGATGGGGGTGACTCCGGCTGCAGAGAGGCCATCCGGCACTGGAGGAGCTGCTCTTGACACGCTTGGACAACACGGTCGGAAGGCTCAGACGTCCTTTGTTGGTTTTCTGTTTGGTGTCCACTTTGGTTGGTTTGTGTATAATGGTTTCCATTGGTTTGTATGACTCGGTTCAGCCAGTTCAGCTCTCTTTCTTGCGGATATGGCTTGGTTGGCTAAGGGGAAGGCGCTTCTGCCTTGTGGCCAACCTTCGTGTTGATTTCGGGAAGGGGGGGCAACACATGCCATGCCACTTCTTGACATTTGCAAGGCCCGGCCACTGGTGGGCCAGAAAGGGGTCGAAAGATCCTCAGTCTCACAGAAACATTTTTTTCGAGGACTCAAGTGAGTCAAGTGAAGTAGAATATTCACTGCTGCCTATGTGAAGGAGACTTTGCCATTGTGATAGAAAGAACAGTTGGGGCTTGCACTCATTGGTTACGAATGGGTAGCCTTACGCATGTAGCCTTTACGAGAAGAGACGGCAACCGACAGATTCATTTGCTGGACAGCGAGGTGCTGGACTAGTCACAGCGCCCCGTCGAAACAAAACACATCCTTTCACGGTCTTTTTTTTCTTCGACAAAGGACCCCTTGAACAGGGGCAACGAACAAGTTCCACTGGAAGCTAGGATTTTTGGGACACGAAACCTCAGATTCTTTTGGTTCTCAGGGGTGTTTGGAAAAGAACTCAAGGGTCTTCTTGCGCTGCGACCTGAGGTGCCCTTGCGCTTCTTCCACTGAGCTTGTGAGCAGGTTTCAGGAAATCAAGATTTCTCCAGATGACTGACTCGGGAACGAGCAAACGAAGCAAGACTAGTGAACTAAGTGGTTGTAGCGCCACCTGAGAGAGGATATGTTAGGTTCAACATGTTTATTGAATTGATCGAACTTGAGCAGGTTCCACATTTCCCAGCAAATGCATTCCTTCCTGAGCTGGCTCCACTCGTTCTTCTCGTATCCGCTGTCGCGGGCATCTGCCGCCTTCGTTCGTTCGCCTATTGGGTTTTTCGCGGCGCCCCCAGAAAAGGGTCGAGCCATGTGGAGGGTTGCAGCCCAGCACTTGGGAATGTAGACTCTTGATGAATTTCTGAATTACCCACCCTGTTAGGATTGCACAACCTGGTCATATAGAACATTCTTAGCAATTAATTCCATTAGTTCAACTTTTCCCCACTAGGTCACAGCCTGGTGAAGAGCCTTGCTACATAGGAGGAGTATTTGCGACGGTTTTTGTGTCAGATAGGCCAAATCGGTAGAACCCCCGCAGAGCAATGTGCCTCCAAACTTCTGCCTTGCGGACTTGAAAGACTTGGGCTGGTCATAGCGGCTCTCGTATGATGTTCTCACAGCTCAAGCAAGAACACAGACCCAGCCAGACCAGGGTCCTGCTGAATCCTTCAAAGATGGTTTTTGGGGTAGTTGATGGTTTGAATCGACTTCCCTAAGGTCCCCTTGAACTCTGGTGCCCTTTCCAGTTATCGCGTTGCCACTTCTTTCCACCAAGAGGGCCGAACTCTTCTAGCGCCGGCCGTCGATGTCCAAGAAGCGCCGGTGTGGCCGTCGTTGTACCAGTGATCACAGAATAACAACATGTTGGACGTGATTTTTGACTTATAGTTATCTATAAATGATTATTTATAACATCTATACTGTATATTGGCTAAAAAGCTGATGAGGCCAACAGCTTTTGGTGCCCAGCAACCGCAAGCAGCAAGCAGGGAAACAGTAGGGAATGCTTGCAAGTTTGGGCCATGCTCTACTGAAAAGCTACTGAGTGCTCTTGGGAATGCATGAATCTTGACCCATCCACCCAACACCACTCTGAGAAGCAAGCCTAGCAGTGGACAACCCAATGCTTGGAGAGGAGTTCCAGCCTTGTTGGACGGGCCATTTTCCACTTCGACACTGAGAACTCCAGAGAAAGGAACGACCACCTCATCAACACTGAGCAGGCAACACTTTCAGGTAGGGCACCGCATGTTTGCATGAGGCACTGGGACCCACAACGGTGGGATTGCCACTTGCTTTTCGCGCGCGCCCTCGCGTGCGCCGGCTGATGGCTGCGATGAGACTGCCCAGCCTCCACCAGCAGCCCCTGGGCTGCGGGGATTCCGCCTGGTGGGTGAGGGGGCCTTTACCGAACAGCCCAAAAATACACCGCGCCTCAGAAACTTGCTTTACACATTTGCTCAGTTGCAGGAAGACCGCTTGTTTATCCCAGTGGTTGGTGGGTGAGTAGATCGACCACCGGTAAGAGGGAGCATTGGTTCATTATAAACTTGTGGACTTTGCAAGAAGCACTATGAGCAAGATACGAAATCTGCCCGGGCCAGCCCTTGTCGCCTCAGCATTTCGTCCACTTTTTCATTCCCGGGGCCTTGTGTGGTCTTCGTGTGCAGTCGTTTGGGTGGCCCTTCATTTTGACTTGCTTCATATCTCGATAGTCTTCGCGTGGCAAACCGCGCCATATGTAGTAGAGGCAACAGCTTCAGCCAGTAGGGAGACCTTGCCATTTCCGCTCAGGTATGGTCAATCCAATCTTCCGCAGTAAGACCTCTGATGAAGCCACAAGTCCAACACTGACAACGACCCCACATGTGTCTTTGTTTTTTCAAGTTTCTGGATGGCTGTCTGTGCTGTGAGGCTTGCTCTGGGGTGAGGACTGTAATACCATTCAGGGTCACTCCAACAGTCTGACAGCCAAGCGTGCGACACGCTTGGAGTTTCTACCGCGGTTGGGGAGTTTCTACCGCGGCTCCATGCATCTCTGGGGAGAAAACCCTCCCAAAACTCCCACAGGAGACTCCCACAAACCCGATTGTTGCCAGCCAACCCACGGATCCCACAGACCGAACCTGCCTCCCTCCGCGCCTCGGCCGTCGACGAAGCCTCGCCGTCGGTTCAGCCTCGCCGACGGCGAGGCTGTCCAGCATTCCGGTGCTCTCCACTGGTGGGGACTGGGACAGGGAATGGGGAACGGCAAGAGAATGAACGTCTGTCGTCTGCAGGTCCCAGTGGGGAGAAATCCGAACAAGAGACATAGCTGTATACCATACATACTATGATGATGCGTGTTTTTTTTTTTCGAGGTGCTAGACTCGCTAGACTCTGTTTACTTGACGGGACTTAATTGTTGACCTGGAAGCTTGAGGGCTCGTAGCAACGTGGAGCCACCTGCGAAGCTGTGTAGGTAGGGACGGCTTGTTGCTTCGATGATCCATGTGAGTGACCCTGCTGTGAACCGGCAAGACCAGCGGGCACAGTCCGAACATATCCCAAGGATGCCTGATGTTCTGAGTCATTTTTCAAATTTTCAGATTATACGCCTATCTATGCACAATGGAGGTGGCTCGGAGGATCTGGAACTCTCTCCCCTTCCATGTTGGCCAAACAGAGGGCACCTTCCAATCGCACGAGAAGGTCCCACTTATGCCTCAGAGAAGATCTCCTTCTCCCAGAGACATGTCCCCTGAAACATCCTCTAGACTCCAGACAGGTGGTATGCAGGACATCCTCGGCTCTTCAGACATACTGACATACTCTTCTTGAGCTCCCTGCCCCACTGGAACCGGAACTCCTCCCCCGACTCCTCCGCGACCCACGCCATCTTTCCACCTCCGCACATCCTCCCCCCGGTGCAGGCACCAAATGCCCAGGAGACTTTACGGCGGTGCGGGTGCCCAGTCGGTCGCCTGCGTGAAACAAACGCCACAAAGGGGCGCCAAGAAGCATCAGGTATTTGGACCCGTGCGAGGTGTGTGTGTATTTTTCTTTTTAGGTATTGGCATTGTCCTCGTAGCAGAAGAAACGGACGCGCTGAGCACTTGGAAGAGGATTCTTCTTGTTTTTCTATCAGACCGAGGCTGATCTGAACCTGAGGAGAGATTGCGCCGTGGAACACGCATGACTGCACTACTTTACAGTACGATTGAGGTTCCAATGCGCGGGGCGGGCAATGTAGAATCTTGATTTATCAAAGCCCCCGTTATGAAGGGGGCATTTTCTCACGCAAGATGAGGGGAAGTAAGACATTTAGATTCTACATTAGCTAGGCAAGAGGATGGGACAGCATACTCGCAAAAGTTGTCATCCAGTGGCTTACCACCAGTTCCTTGACCTCCCCAGCCACGGTGGCGGAAACACGAGGCGGTCCGCGTCCGAATGAAGGCGTCCGAAGCCGCACAAAACAGGCAGTGGAACATGGCCGAAAAACACCCCCTGAAATGATCATGGAAGTGGATGGTGGTCCAGGATGGTCCCTTGGATCCTGTTGAAGCAATATATGACGCTCGCTACTTTGACTTGGTGAAGCACATGCCAGACGTGTCTCACACAGCAACAGAAGATTGGTGCGATGAACATCCAGACTTTTGAGTTGATCACAATGTGTTAAAGTCAGGATCCCAGGAACAGCAGGGGGTAGGTCAAAAGCAGATGCCCACCACACCACGAGCAAGATGTTCGGGATGAATCAAAGGGTGAACTAGCATGGGCTCCCACAAGCTTTGACACCGATCAGTAGTCTTTTTTCGTCAATTCTTTTCATGGGTGTGTCTTAGGTGTGTCTTAGTGTCCATGTGGTAAGTAGCTCAGCAGACACCCATCGGTCACATGTGACCGAAGACTCTTCACTTGCCGTCCACCATCGCCAAGGTGGACTCCATCCTGCATTGGCTCAGCCACGGCGTCGGGGGAACACAGGGCACAGGGCTTCTGGCCTGGCGAGAGCGTCTGCAGCTTACGGGCTGTTCTGACCTTCCGAAGGTGACTGAACATGTCATAGGCGAGGCCCAAGAAGGAAGCTCACCAGCCTGGCCCAGCGAAGCAAGCGGCATCAAAAAATGAAGCCACACACCTCTTCCAGGCAGACCGCCTCACTTTCTGCCGCTCCCTTCCATCGCAAGTCCCCTTCGGTCGCTTCCCGGTTGAATCCTCCACCCGTGGTCCGTGATCCGCTGCCGAGGTGCGGATGCCTGCCTGCATCTTCCATCAGGGTCAGGCGTGCGCCTTCATCGGAAAGGACGGCAGGCGCGGAAGGATCGTTGACTCTGCAGACGCTCGAACCGATCATCTGACTGGTGCGACGAAAGTAGGGAATAAGGGTGACTGGATCGTGAGGTATATACAAGAGGTGGTTCATTCCCTCATTCCCCACGAGTCGCACTCAGTCCGTAATAGCGGCGGTTCGAGCAGCCACCGGTAACTCCTTTTCATAAGTCCAATCTTATTTCGGTCATGTTTCTTGTTACTAGTATAGCTTCAAAGACATACTAGTAGCTTCTTGCTCCTAGTAGCGATGGCCTCCAACCTAATAGCGATGGCCTCCACCTAAGCTGATCATTGAAGGCACAGCGTTGCTGTGGGGCAGAAGCGTTTTGTGCAGCTGGATGTGGATGAAGAAGGGCACACTTTTGCGCAGGTGGGCGCATTCGGCACAAACCTTCAATTTTCTCTCAAACACTTGACTGGAGCTTAGCAGGGATGAGGGAAGTTTCGCTCCGATGGAGATTCCTTTCAATCCGGGCCACCCGAAACTTCCTTACTCAGCACCAGTCAAACACTTTGGAGGTTTTCAATCATGCCCAGTCCAGCCCAGACTCTCAGGATGCTTCTTCCCAACCGAGCATGGTCAGAAAGTAAATCCTTTGGTGCTTCAACCCACTCCAGCTGGATTTCATTATTCACCCTCAGCTCCTCTCACATTCTTCACCTTCAGTTTCAGCCATTTTTTTCCGTGATTCCCCCTTCTGCATCTGGGCCCATTCTTGGTTTAGCTCAGGGAGGTGGCAATGCAGAAGTGCCGACCATTTAAACAGCCACTGGAGCAGCTTCA